AGCTTGACAAAAATGAATACATCACTAACCAAACACCAGAATTTTTTATTTTCTAAAATTATTTCACACCAAGGAAAGCAATAAAGTCATCAAGATGCAAAGCATTACTGAATAGTAACATCTAGCCGTTTCAATTGTAAAATGCTGAGAGCTTGTTGACAATCTAGCACTGTGCCTAAAATTCTTAAACTCTTGGTAACATAGAGGGGAATTCATCTGAACAATTACCATGAAAGTATTTCTCGAAAAGGCACAAGGAAGCATGTTACATTGATGGAAAAGTGATTGAAGCCGAGATGCCAGATCAGGACTAATAACATTACTGATTCTTTTTGGGATTTTATAAAGAATCTCTAAATATATAGCAGAAGCACCACTTCAGATGTGGTAGCAGTATTCAATGTAAGGGTGAATTTCCAGGATGCAGACTTATCAATTGTTTCATTATACACTTTCCATTTTGTATCAGTGGAAAACATTAGTCCAAGAACATGCAAGGAGTTACTCTCCTATATGTTAGCATCAGTTATGTTGATGGAAGTATAAAAGATGATTAAATTTTGATTTTATTTTGGAGGCTTTAAATTTAACAAGCCACTCCCTGCCCCATTTAATAAATAATTGTAAGTTATTTTTATACCGGAGAAGTGAGTTAGACTAAGAATTTTTCAGTAGCCCTTTGTACAACTTTAAAATATTGTAGATGTTACATTGCATAAAGCTCTGTATTAAGTCTAGACAGATTTTAAATGGCTTCATCATTGATTTGGGGATGTGTAGATGGTGTAATGAATAATGACTTGCATTTAGAAATCGGAGAGTTGAGTTCAAATTCCAGCTGAGTTTGTTATATTCAGCTTATTCACAAATACCCTTGAAAAAGTTATGAATCTATGTCCCTCCAGCTATGGTTAAATAGTAAGACTTGTATCTGGAAAAAGCATTATTATTCTCAAATTTTTAATGTAATATCCACTTGCAAAAAAATATTTTTACAATTCAAAATGTGTTTCAGCTTTAAATAGCCTACAAAGGGTTAAAAAAAACAAAAAAACAAATTAATCATCTTTGCTGGAGGATGAATAAATCAAGACATTGCAAAAGTTAACTTTCTCATAGTTCCATTTCAATTGAATTGAAATATTAGAAAGTATATTATTATCTAGATGTGTGCATAGGGTAGAAGTTATTGTGCAGAAAATGGGATTGGCTTGTTGAGTTCAAATACCAGCCAAGATTGTTGTGTTCACTTTCAGACGAATAACCTTGTGGAATGAATAAATAGACTCCTATCTATTCTCAACCCAGCTATGTCTTAATATGAAAGCAGACTGGGCTCTCTAGCAAACAGTCTAAGAGAAAGCTCTTAATTCAAAACCAGTTGAGTATGATGTTAGCAACTCCAACCCATAAAATCAACTTGTTACAGAAACCACAGCACTCACAACAACAAGACCTAACATGGTGAAGCTGTGGCCTTTATACTTCTCAGATAAATGCATGTAATTTTGTCGATAATGATAAAAAATGAAAGACTAAAAGATTCAAAATGATAGTCACTTTATCAGCTTTATATTGTATATTTTTTTTTGTTTTTTTTTTTGACTGGGGGTTCAAACTGATTCAAACATCTTGAATAGTTTGAAGATTATTCAAATTATGATGCATGTGAATATTAAATCCATTGACAAATTAATACAACAAGGATATATTTTCAGCAGACCACATTATAAACATTCTCTCGTTTATATTTGATCTGACACAAACACAAATGTTATTGGTATTGAGTAAAATATATCAGTTACTAATACAGGTTAAACATTTAGTAACATATGTTATTCTGAATAAAAACAAAAGGAAAATTTTATCCTCTGGGGAACTTTATCAAGGACACATTAGCTAAGATGAGTTTTCTTTTTGTCTTTATTCATATTGTCCTTTTACAGATATACTCTATCTGAAATTTTTACACATATGATATTCTACCTTTTAAATACAGAAACAAAGGAAGAAACAAAGGAAGAAACAAATTGGTTCATTATTGATTTCAGACTATTTTCATGATATATTAAATAATACACCTGTCAAAGTCAGTATAGAATGTGATCTATTTTTGTTTTAATATTTAATAAAGTAGATCTCTTGGGAGTTATTATTGAAACTTGACTTGTTTGTTCAGTACTGGTTGTAGTTGCCATGAGTTTGCATTATATACTAGTAATGTTGTTTGCGTAAATATGCAGAAGTATCTGATATAACAAAAGAAAATAAAATATCTTGTTCCTAAAAGCAACATGTAATAAATCTATATACAAAAGCCAGTATATTTTGCTTTGTAATGCATAAAAAATGTCATGCTATGTTTTTCTTCCTATTCAAGAATGTAAATGATATACGTACAGTCTGTATAAAATAGTGTAATAATATCTTTACTAAGTAGATGCCAAAAACGTTACAAATTGTAACAATGATTAAATATTTTCTGAAAATTTTAAAGTATATTGAAATAATTTAAATATCTTCTTTGAAGTTTTAACTTTTGTTTTAATTGCCAGAATTGCCAGAAAATAGTGTAAAGCTGGTTATTAAAAAAAAAAATTACGCTTGTATAGACTCTTTTTAATATCAATTTTTGCTAATCCAAATCTACTATCATTACACTTGACTATGATGTCTAATCTTTCCAAAAATAGACTAGCATTTATAAAACTGCTTTTGATGAAAATTAATTTAATGATGACAAATATAATTACATATGATTTTTTACTTAAAATTTAGTAAAATATACATTTGTTAACAGCAAGTGCTCATTATTTGTTAACTCAGTTCAAAGATCAAGTGGATATAAAGTCACTTTTCTTTACTTATATGTTATGAATTCCTGCTTAAATTTACAACTGTCTTATGCGCCAACTGAGGTATGGATGACCAAAAATGAAAAAAAAGTTGATCTTACACACAATCACATGCCACCTTAATAATCCAAGAATGACTTTGAGACATTTATGTTATGTTCTTTTTTTTAGTTATACTGTTGATGGGGAAAAAATGAAAACTGATGAAATTTGATAAAAAAGTGTATAATGGGAGAGATATCAAAAAAAGTTTATTCTCCCATTTGTATTTCCCCCATTATGGGCATTATTATATCTGTGATATAATAACACTGTAGTTTATGAGCAAAACGGAATAGCTGAAAGGAAAAGAAATGGCAAACATCTTTTTTTCTTGGGAAATCTTTTATATACCACTAAAAACATATATATAATATATATATATATATATATATATATATATATATATATATATATATATATATATTTATATGCATGCCCCATGCAGAGAAAAAACAACATATCTACACAGTAAGCAGGATGTAAGGAAAAACAATAGGGAAGGGTCTTAAATATATGGAGATTCTTCTATGTTTCTGGAGAAGCCATGTTTAGGACTCCAGACTCAAACCGGCTGGATTCATCTACTGTGTCCCAGGTGAGGACATATTACATAAAGGGGAAATGGCAAGTCTCAGGTTTTTCCAAATTGAGGACTGCAAACCAGGGTTTCTTTCTATATCTAGGAATGATGTAAGTTATGCCATTTGGCAGCTGGCTAGCCTGGGCAGGATGAACAAACACATGTGTCTTGACACCAATAAGCTTACTGCTACTTTTGTCACTATATGAAATCACATCACCAAGCAGCCAGATTTCTCATTCCTCCCATGGGAACTAGTGGAGGAATCTCTCAGCAAAAACAACTACTAAACCCAAGAGCTTCATTAACTGGGAATTCCTACTTTTTTCCCACAAAATACTCCTATTTTGCATTCCTTTTCAACCAGAAATAAAAGCTGTTGAATAGTTATTTTTCAAGCTTTGGGATTTTTCTTCATTCCACTCACACTGTTGAGTACAAACACGCACACAACTGGGAAAATTTTTCACAATATGTTTATTTTTTATTATTTCTTAGCAAATGAGAAAACCCTCCACAATTCTAAATATTGTTTTCAAAATGAAAAAAAAAAGAAACAAAAACTAAAATTTATTTCTTACTCTTGCTATTCACTTTTTGGGGCCCAATTGCAAAATGTTCCAAATAACATGTAAATAACAATTAGTGCTGTGCTTCTTTCTTATATTTGTTATCCCATTAATGCCCATTGTAAAATAAAACTTGCCATTAATTACAACAAAGATGAGTACAACAGTCCGAACAGTGTAAATAATTGCAATACCTCATCTCAAAAAATATAAACAGACATTAAGTGTCTCTGCGCCCTTGTGGGGAACAAATTATTTTCCACCCTATAACACCTTTCTCACAGATGAGACATCACAAGTTTCTCACTACTCTGTTACTATTTCCATGTAAAGTGTTTGGACAAATTACATTCCATAGTTCAAGCAGTCTTAACCTTCATGGCTAAGATCCACCATGTAGCAAACCACCCTTGTTCTCTTTGTATTCTTTTGGTGAATTTTTGGTGTAAGTTTCACTTGAGCAACTTCTTCCTATGAATCACTGCTTTGTGGAACCAACTCCCAGGATGATGCTTCCCCAATCACTACAAAATTAACCTGTTCAAATCTAGGGTTAGCTGTTACCTTCCCCTCATACCCACATAAGTTGTGCTTCTTACTCTGTAACCCACTACTTTGAGTGGCCCATGGACCTTGTACAGGATGAACATCATTGCAAAAAAATAAAATAAATTCACTGAAGTTCTTTTCAATGCTGACATAACATTTATTTTTAAATATCTCTGCTTCTTCAAACTCTACTTACACAATTTATCATAATCTCTCTCCTTTATGGTATGTTTTAGAATGAATTTTAAGTGAATGAATATTTCCAAAGCCTGATAAGAAGAATTAAATTGAGCAATAAACTAGTTTATAATTATTAATAATAAATCATGATATATTAGTCATCATGACTTGAAATATTTAGCTCCTCACTAAGAAGACAACTGCTTTTTTTTTTATATATTTCAGTTTTTAATTGACACTCCAGTAAGTCCAGCCACAAGCGTTCTTCCTTTAGTATTTGTGGTGTCTGTCACAACCATAAAACAGGTACGTTGTTTGATACTTTCACATATCAATACTTATCATGTTTCCCCAACTGTTCTTACAATGAGCCTTTTTTACATTTTCGGTTAAAAATTAGAATTTTCTTTATATTTTAAAATAAATTATTACTGCTAATTTGTTACTTAGTATTTATAAATCTCTATAATTGAATCTTCCAATGATTGGGGATTTTTTTCAATAGTTAATTCTATATGTTGTCTCTTATCTTTCAGTTATTTAGAAATGATGGGTTCTGCAGTTTGCTCACATTGTAAGTTAATTACAACTTACTGTTAATAATTTTTTGTTAAGAATAGTACAATGGTAATAAGGAATATAACTGGAATCATTGATTAATTTCTGCTTTTGTGTGAGGAAATCATTAGAAATCTGTTAAGATCTTTAAAGAAATGTAGAAAGATAAAATCATACCATATGTTTACCTTTCAGATTTTGAATGTTACAAGATGCAAGAATAAACAAAAATGGAGTTGATCAGGAAACATAGTGAGAATAATAATAAATGAAGTGAAAATTGTATTAATCGGTACTCAATGGACAGCAAATGCCATAAGAAAATAGAAAATGGTGAAATGAGATAGAGGGATTTACTGGTAAGAAATGGCAGAAAATAGCATGGAAGTATTTGTGTAAAGCCTTTGTCCTGTAGTTGATTTAAAATGGCTGATGATGATGAACTTTAAAAGGAATGGTGAAGTTTAAAAAATTAAACAAATATTTTGGAAAGCAAGCAAACTGTCCCCTATATTTTTATTTATATCTCTCATGAATGGTTAAAAATGAAAAATCTGTGTTAAAAATTTTAACAAAAATTAATTTGACCTTTGCAGTACACAAATACTAAGAGTTCATATTTTTCTGTCACTAGAAAAGACTGATACATTTTACTTGGGTCTCTCAATATTTTGGGGTTAGACAATCAGTCATGGAGATAATGGGGGTTACTGCAGTATTCTCTTAATTCTTGAAAAAAAAATGTATTCTAATATTGCTTTCATGGGTGCAAATATTGTGTTTTGGTTAAAGAATACTTTGAAGAATATAAGATAGTTCTGTCATTAATTTATCAATCATGCCCTCAGAATGTTCTCATTAATTTAGAACTATTCCATGAACATGTCAACCTGGATGTGTGGATAGTGTAACTGTTAGCAACTTGAAAAATGATGTAATGGGAGAGAGCTATGGAAGAAAAATTTATTCTCCCACTTGTATTATCCCCATCATGGACATTATTACACCTGTGATATAATAACACCATAGTTCACTAACAGAACAGAATGGCTAAAAGGAAAAAGAATGACAAACATGCTTTGTTCTCAGATATTACTAACACATACACAAATGATATACTACATATATATGCATGTCCCACTCAGAGAATAATATATCACATATATCTATACAGCAAAGCAGAGTGTAAGGAATAAGAAAAAGAAAGGGTTTTACATTTAATTTGGAGATACTCTTGTATCTGGAGAAGCCATGATTAGGACTCCAGATTCAAATGGGCTAGATTCACTTATGTTCCAAACAAGGACATATTCCATGAATGGGAAACAGCAAGTCTTGGGTTTTCCCCAAATTGAGGACTGCAAGCTGGAGTTTCATTCTATATCTGGGAAAGATATATTCTCAATGAGAAATGGTTCATGGACTTGTAAGCTGTAGGGGAGGCAGATTTAACCTCAGCCTGGGCCCTTTGGCCCAGAGTCAAAAAAGCAACCTCACATGAATTTGACTGCCAATTCCTTCACTGTATGGAGTGACATCACTAAGCAGCCCATCATGTGACCATGTGACACACCAAAGGGAGATACACACCTTCTATATCCCTATAGTGAAATTGGTGAACCTAGTTCAAATTTTACCAGAGGTTATATTCACTTTCATACAAATAGCTTTGGGAATGGTATCAATCCATATCTTTTCCTCCTAGCTATGAGTTAAATGGGTAACTGGGCTTGTCTTGAGGTGGAAACTTTTTTAGAAGAAAAAAAAGAAATTCAAGGTCTGCTGATATTGCTACATTATATGTGGATCCCCAACAATCCCAATGACTTTTAAGACCTGTGACCTGATCTGACATATTTTATGTCATGTGGAGTTTAAAATCATAAAATGTAAAATCAATTGGTTAATGAATAGTAATTTTTGATGTTGTGCTAAAACTTTAGTTATTCAGTGCATAAAAGAAATAACAAAAAGTGAAAAACTTTTAAATGTTATTTAAATATTTTCTGATTTAAGAATAACAACCTGAAGAATTCTTTTGCTACAAACATGGTTATAATAATATGTAATAGGTGTGTCTGAAACAAAATGTTCAGCCATTTTGAATACTTCACTGACTGGTTGTGCAGCCTTGCTGTTACGTGGCAATCAAACAAAGCAATATTATTGCACATAATGAATTAGTTAGCAGGGAGACAATATTGTGCTTTTGTATTGTATAAGTGTTGTATTCACAATGAGCAAGTAAGAAGATTCTTTACATCTTCTGCTAGGTTTTTGGCAAAGAATCATATCACTCTAGTCAGTCAGCCCTCACTCCTACTGCCCAGATTAACTAGACTGTAACTTCTGGCATTTTCCAAAGCTAAAATTGCCCCTTAAACTACATGGGCAAGGTTAAGGAGACCATGATAAGACAGCTGATGGTAATCCTGAAAGAGAATTTTGAAAAATGGAAGGAACACTGAGATAAGTGTCTGTGGTTCCAAGAGTAAGTCTCTGAAGGTGACTATTTTGTCAGTAATATAAAAAAGCTGATTTTGCCTTACATGATTTTTCATTGGCATCAAATCTTGTGTATATTTGCATCCTTGTTCTCTGATTGCACTGTTACAAAGAATTTCTGGTTACTTAAAATGTAATTACAGTTCACTGTGTGTCACTCATAATCAACCTGTGTCTTTCACTCTTGTTTATAATGACTCCACTCTCTACTCCCAGAACAAGGTCTATTTTTTAAAATAGGAAATAATCAGTTATGATATCACCATAGTAATGAAACAACCCAAATGTTGTATACTTACTTCATATTATGAGATATCCTTTTCTTTTACATTGTGACAGTTTTAACTACCATAATTTAGTAGTATAGGCCATGTTTTACCTTTGATTTCTTTAATGATTTGATTTTTATATTTAGTAGTATATTATTTAAACATGAATATTTAAATGTTGCCTTGTGTTTAAGCAATGTACCAACATTGTCATTAGGAAAATGATTTACATAATGCTTTTAGTCCATGGCTAGTTTTTGTACATTTACACTTACATTGGTAAACATATTAAAAAATTATATATTTCTATAAACATCTTGACTCCAAATAATTTGCTATCAGCTTTTTTCTACTTTTATTATAAAATAAATTCTAAATGAAGATTAATTTTAGTTTCTAAAAAAATTAAAATAATAAATTAAGAAAATATACCTTTTTGCTTTAGGGAAAGCTTTATAAAAAAAAAAAAATGATGAGGTCTGGACAAAGATATTTTTTCATGAGCTCAGGATATTGATAAATGAATATTCATGAATTGACCAATAAGAATCAAGTTAAAAATAATTATTCAAACCAGTATTCCAAGATGAATTGTTGACTCAGTACAAATCTGCACCTGAATCACAAAGGGTAGACATTTTTATATATTTTTGTAGATGGCTTTACTTTAAATGTGGAAAACAGTTAAAGAATACATACCCTCCACACACACCCCTTAATATATTTATATGTCTTTGTTTAAAAGTCCATGTATTTTTCAATTTCCCAGTATCCTAAAATTCTTTTCATTGTTTGAATGCATTTTGTTCATAAGTAATTTCAGAAAGTTTTTTTAATCTTAGAAAAATACTGCAGGAAGAATTAAATCAAAATCTTTACAAAATAATTTTCTAATGTCTGATTAATCAGAATATTGAAATCTTTTTTATGGAAAATCTATGAATCTATATTAGAGAGGGAATTTTTGTCAACTGTTGATTTATATCCACTTAGTCCAAACTGTATTTTGTATTGAGTAAAATCTATCTAACTAAAAGCAGAATTAACTTGTTAGTATTTTGGGTTATTACCAATCTAATTAGATGTGTTAGAACGTTCAAATGAATTTTGTTCTGGTCTTTTAAAAGTGAAACAAAACTGAAAGAAATGAAAGATAAAATTTTATGTGTCACTTTCCAAAATTCATATTTTTACTACTTATTGTTCCAACTTCAATTCTGTTTGCTAAATAAAAAAAAAACTAGCTATATTTAAAATTCAAGTTGAGGCCATACAGTTATCTTCAGAATCTGTGCTTATCAATGTCTTACCTGGATGTGCAGGTAGCTTAATGGTTAGTGATGCAGAAAATAGATTGGCAAGATAAGTTCAAATTCTTTTGTGTTCACTTTTGCAATAATGCTCTTGTGAAAGACATGAATCCATCTCATCTCCTACAAGTTACGGGTTAAATATCAGAGTAGACTGAGCTCTATAGCCTTGGTTGGCATCCAGAAGAGAAGAACTGCCCTAAATTCAAAAGCATGGAGAAGGCAACAGAAAACCACTCTAATAATAGGTGAGTTCGGAGAATACTCCTTGATGCTGGTACCATGTAACCTAGTAAAACCTGTCATATATTACTTGGAGAGGGAAACGGTGCCTTCAACAAATTTCCTCTGACCTAATAAAGGGCAATTATTCAGTATGGAACCCTAGCAAACACAGAGATCATAGGTTGAACTAAACTGAAATTTAATGTCTTACACATGTTCCTTGAGAATTTGTTAAGATGATGCCATCTTTTATTCTAATTATTATACATATTCCTAAAAAATGTTGACGGACATATTACAGTTTTTTCTCAGATTATTACAATTATTAGCTACCTTTAAATAAAAAATATTCTCTTTGTAACTTAATGAAATAGATATTTTACAGAAATTTCTGATATCTTACAAGGAATTCAGTCAATACAAAACCTGTTTATAGGATCAAAAGAGATAATTATAAAAGATGCTGATTTAGTAAAATCTTATCTAAAAAGACAATCACAATTACAGTTAATTGCAAAATCAAAAAGTAAACAAAAATGTGATATGAGGGTTTTATTAGAAATTTTATATTTCTATGGTTTTCAACATATGCTCTATTATTTATTGTTTCATTTTCTCTTTTTAAAAATCTTTCATATGTTTTACATGAAGTACATTTAGAATGTTTTTTTATGATTTTATAATTCAAGGCTATATGTCAGCATTTGTAAAGTTAGCCCAAATATCTGAGTATGAAATAGATCATTTTAACTCTCTTCTTTTGTGATAGCATTTTCAAAGAATTATTCAAATAGATCCTATTGTATGACTCAAAAACAGTTTGATAAATTTCAAAGAAACTTGATAGTTTCATATTCATAAATCAAGACAACATGAGATTTTGAAAATGGTGGCTTGAAAATGTTTTTTTTTTTTCTTTTTTGAGCAAGAACACAATGATTTGTAATATTAGTATATTGTACTTATATTTTTCTATTAGACATCAAATAGTTTTACAAGTTCACTAGATTTTTACCTATCCACTGTGTGTGGGAAAGAGTGTACATGTTTATGTTTGTTTTTATCATTTATGTGTTTGTAAAGATAAAGAGTATGTATAGTGAGCGTTCCTTCTCTCACCCCCCCCCGCCTATCCCCAAAAATGGACTGTGCCTGCTTATAAATAGTTTTGTTTGTACTAACTGTTCTATTATGTGGAATAAAGCCTAATTTGGGTTACACTGTTCCGGGTCTTTTATTACAGTATGTAATTTATAAGTAGATACTTCTGCAAATAAGTCTTAAGTAAAAATGACAAAGTTAATTGGATTAGGATATTGGACATGCTAATGAAGACAAGTACATTGATTAATTTCTTTAGAAATGGTTCTCTTCACAACAATTAAAAAACAATAGGTTCATTAATATTCTGCTTGTAATAAATTGCAAGACGTGGCTGTATTGATAATTTAAAAGATAGATTTATGTACTGGTTGTCTATAAATATTAGGTTAACACATAGATGTGTATAGATTCAATGCCATTTATACTAAGTGGCTATGACTGGTTTGACAATTACTCACTTAAAAATAAGAATATTTTTTTTTCACAACAAATCTCATCAATTAATCTGCAAATCTAGAGTCTTAAACTTTGTTGCATACTAATAAAAGTTTTGTGATTGAGCCGCTTTTAATACTGTATATTTTTGTGAAACCATGTGTTTCATGATAGTATTCTAAAAGACTGCTTTTTTGCTTTGTAATAGGGATATGAAGATTGGTTGCGACACAAAGCTGACGATGAGGTTAATAATCAACAGGTGAACGTTATAAGAAATGATCAGTTAATTGGCATCAAATCAATGAATATCAAGGTAAGTGATAGTGACTTTGTTGTTTGCCATGTAGATTTTACATATATATTACTTGTCTACTTAAGACATTTATCTTGAAATATATACAATGATTTTTCTTATGTATGTTTAATATAATTCATCTAAATTGGTGTTTTGTCTAGAACCTTTGACCTTTTAACATTTTTTTCTTAAAACTTAGAAATAAGTGGTTCTTATTATTATTCAAAATATGCATTTTAAGAAAAAATTGGTAAAACTTACTTGTCATTGTTCAAACCATAAAGTTTATAAAAAGTTACTTTGCATTGTTCAAATTATTTTACAAAACCTTTACTTTTTTTTTTGCAAGATAATTTCCCATTTTGTAAGATAATTTCCCATTTAAAAAAAAAAACAGATTTTTTTCTCCTTATGTAATCATAGAACACCCTCCCTAGTTGTCCAAGACTTCGAACACAGTGGCTGATCAATGAAGATCACTTCAATCTCAGACCTACCCTATCCCACATTGTGATTTAAGTTTGATCATAAGGACACCAAGATCAAATCATTGCAGGTATCTTCATGTTGGCCAGGTCCAAGTAGGGTGAAGATGTACAGAAAAAAAATAACATTCGAATAAATTGAACAAAAATTAAATACTGTTTTTATATCAGTCCTTCGTACAATGATTGGTTATATCAGAGTTTGCATGCAATTAATTATCAGCCCAACCTGCGTCTAAATTGGAAGTGATATTATTGTTGACTTGGTAAACTTTGGGTTGCGGTTTTGGCAAAGTTCAGCATAAGGCTGAATTCGGGGAGCGGGGGGTTCTTTGACAGGCTGTCACGTGGGGTGTATCATGACTGGTGGCTGGGATGAATTCTCTGCCATCTCTCTCCTGTCTCTGTCTCTCCTGTCTCTGTCTCTCTTCTGCCTCTCTTCTCTCTTCTCATCTAATTCGTTTTGCGCATTCATATTTATGGACATTCACCCAAACTAGTGAAGTAAGAAAATTCGATAATTCTGGGGAATTCCCTTCTTTCACTCTCTCATATTATTACTTCTCACTAAATCCCTTCTGTGAGCATGGGTGGCTTATCCAGCCCTTCCTGGTATCTCAACTCAACTTTCAACCAGAGGAATCAACTCCAAATTTGTTGTTTACAAAAAATGAAATTTTCGCATTTTCAGCTGCATAGAACACATGTCAATCATCATTGTCCTCTAAGTCTGGGTCACTTTTACATTGTTCAAACCGCTCAACATACAATTCAAGTCTTTTTTGTGTGAATTAAATCTTCAATTCTTCCCACAGGTTTTAGGTATTAATCCTTCTCGTTTCAATATCTCTCAGTATATAACACTTTAACAAAACTTTTTCCGTTTTACTGTGGCAGCAACAAATATTATCGCATTTAATTATCTCAATAAATCTATACTTAATTTACACCCTCTCTCACACACACACACACACACACACACAAAGAAAAGAATTTGGGTGATTTTATTTTTTCAATAATCCCATATGCAAAATGCAATATGAAAGTTTCTGTTATTTGTTAAATGACTTAACTTATTAGAGATTAGTATGTTTATGAAAAGAAATAAAGACATTGTACTTTCTCTAACAAAAAACATGTCTTGTCTGTGAATATACTTGCAGAACTCAATATTAATGTCAGCTGTACTGTTTCATGTTTTTAAATAAAAAATACTCCATTTTTGTTTTTATATTTTAAGGTTGGTGACATTGTCCATGTTGAAGCTAATTCTAGTTTTCCTTGTGATATGGTGATGCTTTCTTCCCATGATCCAGAAGGTTCTTGCTATATTACCACTGCCAATTTAGATGGGGAAACAAATCTGAAAGTGAGTAAAAAAATAAATTATTGTTTTTTTTTTTTCAGCCCAAACACATAAAAATCAAAAAAAGGGACTATTGTTTGATTGAATGAATTCTAACAAAATTATTTGAAGAGAGTAATCACTGGATGAGATTGATAGGTAACATTTCTTCCCAAAGAGGGTGTCAAGACTTACCACATTTTGATGATTTAAAGAGATGAATTATTAAATAAATTATTTTGGAGCATGCTGTAGCTCAAATACTAGCTTGTGTTGATATTATGCCTCCAATAGCAACACCAGATTTTTTAGAATAAAATTCACCAATACAAAGCTTGTAAGTTACTCAAGGTAGAGGGTTACTGTTAAAATGGTTAGGATGAATGGGGTGGGTGAAAAAGGTGGTGGTAGGAAGAAAAGGTTGTGGGGATAAGGAGCATAAAGTTAAGATTGTAGTGTTCAAAGAATCATTCACACAGGAGACTGTTCCACAAAGTAGAAGTTTCTTGGAAAACTTGTCCGAGTGGAATTCTCTCCTTACATTTAAAATAGGGAGAAAATGAGCCTGATTTGACTCCATGGAATTAGCATTGTGCAGTAAAGGTTTGAATTGATGGAATAAAAGAATGAAGCTTATCTGAACATTTCTCAAGGGAATAGCAACAGAGTAGCAATAGATTTGCATCTGTCGGAAAGAGGCTGCAGAATGGAGAATAAGCCTTTCCTCACAAATTCATATAAAAGATTTTGAATTGTATCAAGGCTGAAAGGTGAGGATTGTAGAACTTCAAATGAGATATGACAGCAACACTCTGTTTGGGATCTAATCTGACATTTCTTACAATAGAATGAATCAACCATTTTAGAATATGGCAAGTTTTAAAATTTCTGTTTTTACTTGACTTGCAAGCTTAAAAATATTTAAAGAGAAAGCTTCTTATTATTGATCAAACTGAATGAGACAAAATTTGAGGGACAGATTTGAATATGTTTTAATTTACTTGAATTGTTATAAGAAAACTAAATTTGTAGGCAGTTAGTTATAAGTTTTGTTTACCTTCTTCTATTTGATCTATTTCATGCTTGTTATGTTTCCTGCTACATTTTTTTTTTAATTTTCTTGACAGACATGTGCATGTTTACCAGAAACAAGAAAATACCAAACTGTGGAAGATATAATCAAACTAAATGCTACTTTAATCTATAGACAACCAGTACCAGACTTGTATTCTTTCACTGGTCACATGACAATAATGAAAGATGACATGGAGGAAAATTGTTTGTCTTTGAACCCAACAAATATTCTACTCAGAGGAGCAAGGCTTAGAAACACTCCTTATATTTTTGGTAAGGAGATACTACTGAATATTTTGGATTTATTTAATAAAGTTTAAGTACATTTTGAAAATCTTTGATTAAATAATCCATACAAAATCTGATAAATTTTTCAAGGCTTCTTAACAATTAAAATTCTCTCCTTATCACTCATATTTTTCTTTCTATTATTTAGTTTATTTTTTTACATTCTATGTCACTTTAGAATATAAGCAATTATAGTTCTCGACAGCTTTCCTATTTATTATATCTGTAAACTGCATATTGTCTTGATAGTTTCTGTGAAAGATAATGGTGTGGTCTCTTATTGCCATCTGTGTAGTTTTGCATTTAGAATTCTTTCCTTAGACTGATTACCTTACCAAGACTAAAGGCCCAAGTCAGCCACTAGTCATAACTAGTGGGGGAAGATATGGATTCATGACTTACCCAAGATTATTAGTGTAAAGTGAATACAAACATTCTTAGCCAGAATTTGAACTCTGCTTACCAATTCCACTTTTGATGCTGATAACATTTTGACTTCTCCAGAAATAATGAATAAAAATGAATTCATCTGAACTTGATACATTTAAATCAGATTTTATTTTTCTGTTTGAATTTCTGGGGTGAGGAGTTCTCATTATTTATATTTTTACATGAGGACTATTTTCCTCATCTTTGTTGTTATTAATTACAATGTTTTGGCTGTTATGCTCCCCAGTCTTAATCTGAGTAACCTTCAGGGAACTTCAAACTGAACTCTCTATTTAATCTATGGGATAAATTGTTCTCATTTTGCTAACAGTAATACACTAGGATTATCTCATAGGAAAATTGTCTAGTGGATTAAAGTACTGGTTCATGAATTTGGTGGCAGCCATTGTGATTTCAATTCCTGGATCAGGCAATAGATACTTGAACTCAGTGTAAATAGGGTGAGCAATAACTGAGGAGTACTAAATAAGAATTAGATGAGATATCCCTAGATATGGGCATCAGAATGAGAAGAATCAATCCCTGTAGATTAAATAAAGGGTTCCATTCAAAATTCCCAGAAGGTCACCCAGATCAACAAGGACCCGACGAAGGCCAGAGAACACAATTACCCAAATATTTTGATAACAACAACAAAGATGATGACAATTGCCCACATGTAAATAAAGATTTTCTTTTTATCTATGTAATCATTGTTATAATAATAAATGAAAACTAAGCTTCTTGTAGCATATATTTCTATATTTAAAAGATTATGGTCAATAGTAATCTATTGAAAAAAATATAATGAAGGTAGATTTTATCACTTCAATCTGTAGTATTTATTGTGATAAAATTTAAAATGTCGATTTTTTTTAAATGCAACTGAGAAAGATTAAGAATGCTGATATCTAAACACAAAACAGAAGTATAAAATGTCTGAAAGAAGCAAAATATAGAATATATTTGTGCATGTTTTATTTATTATTTTTTAAATGACTCATTTGTTTGTTAGTTTTTAATAACACTGGCTATGCCTCCAGATGTCACATGAAGAGAAAAATTAATTTTGTATAGGATATATATGACAGAATAGTCACTGTCAGAATAATGTATGAAAATGTAGTTTAATTATTTAAATTAAACTTTTGTTTTGAATCATGTTTACACCTATTAAATATCATCAGGCCTAAAAGCTCTTTTAATCCTTCATTAATACTGTGGTGTATTGTCATAGCATTAATATTATGGGGTTTTAAAGCACCCCATTTAAAATATTATACATATATCATTTAGTTCTTAATTTTCTTCTTATATATTGTCTTGAGTGTTCTTTCCAGTTTTTATAGAATAAATAAAAATGAAATAAACAAAAGTTTTTTTTTTTATTTTGATAGATCAAATTAAAAGGCCAGTATTAAAAAATAAATGTGTAAATTTTTAAAGTTCAATTATGCAAAAATAAGTTTCATTTTATTTTCAGTAAATAAACAAAACTGTTTGTAATTCCCACAAATATTATGACTAAAATAAGAAATTCCTTGTAGTTATTTGACAGATTCAGAAAGCTACTTGACTAATGATGAAAATTTGATTTGTCACTTGCTAAATAGAAAAGAAAAACATTTTGTCAGGTATTCAAACATCCCATTGTACTAACAGAATTACAATCAAAATCTTAAATGTAAATCCTTACAACCAACAACCCCCAAAATTATTATTTCTTAAATTTTTATTGAAATTTCTTGTTATTTATTTGATTTATGTTTAGTGCATTTTTTAAATTAATTTTTCAAATATTTTATGTCCAGGATGTGCAGTTTATACAGGTCAGGAAACAAAAATGGCATTGAATTCTAAATTTAAAAGTACAAAATTTTCTAGAATTGAAAAGTAAGTACCACAACCTTTGTTTTGTAATCATTACAAGTTGAATAATTGAATCTTGTAGGGTTTTTTAAAATAAATTTCAACAGTATATAGATACAGGTGTTTACCTTGAATGATTCTTAATAGCCATGTTGTTTGGAAGACTCTAGGGCCAGCTTAGTCAAGAATAGTTTTTAATAAAGTTTAGTTTGGAGTTTTTATCAAGCCATGTTAATAAACAAATAAAAATTACTTTTAATAATTTTGATTTCTCTTCCTGCATATTGTATAAGATAGTTAAAAAAAAAAAAACTGTCAGATCTTTTATGAGCTTCTTCATAAACCACTTAACATCTCACTACAACTGTCAGACAAACTTTTGTTTTTTAATTTTGATGTAAGTTTTTTTTAATTTTCAATATATTTCAGTTTATTTAAGAATTTATTTTCTTTCTGTTGTCAACTGGCAATAAATAAAATCAATATGTGTTGTGAAAAAAATTTTGCAGTTTTGGAAATTTTTTCTGAATTGTATTTTTTAAAATAAATATCTTTTTAATCCACTATTTTCAAACTGCAAAGATAGTTTTTCCTTACTTTTGCATATTAAGGATCCTTCTTGATGCTTTTCAAGAATTTAATTATTTTTAAGTTTATTTAGGATATTTATGAAATTGAATATTTAAAAAGATGCCAAGAAAACAAAGAAATCATGCTAAATGATAAAATTTCTGACCTTCCATGCTTTTCCTATGAACTCTGTGTTGGTTTGTCAAGAATTGGACTCTCAGACTTTTCAACCAATGATAGAAATACTAATTTTGTGTCCCTAGAAGCACTGTTAAACAAAGAGAATGCATCATTTGTTTTGCTTTAGACATCCAAATATCTAAATTTTCATGTGGAAATAGCATAAATAATATTTTTTAAGATATGTCTTTATGAAACTTACATTGCCTACTGTTGACATATATATATATATGTGTGTGTATATATATATATATATATATGTGTGTGTATATATATATATCTTACTTATTATAAAACGCAGAGTGTGTGTGTGTGTCTGTACGTTTATATATTGGATCGGATTTCCTACATTTTTCAACCGATTTCAACAAAACTTCACAGGACTACGTAAAAATTACCTTTGCGGTGGTTCTAACAGCGCCAAAAAATTGAAAAACACAATTGTTTTTTTTGCACAAAATCAATTTGAAAACATGATTAAAAGGCATCACGAGATTATTGTCTTGCACACTTTTTTCTTTATTTTTACATTCAGAATGCTTTAAAAATTCCATTTACAAGACAATTGTTTATAATAAAATTCTATTCAATCGGTAGACTCATAACGATTGAAAACAATGTTTTTGTTTGAGTTTGACCAATTCATAAAAAAAAAAATAAAATAAAACTAATTAAGACATGCGTGTCCGTCAACCTTAAACAATAATGTTTGTCAATTTTATTTTTTCAGTCTTTATGATGGTCGATACTTGATCTATCTCTTACTGTTACATCCCCGGCAATGCTGGGCTCTACTGCTAGTATATATATATATATATATATATATATATATATATATATATATATATAATATATGGAATCAGTATACACACATACATACACACATATATATATATATGTATACACATACACTCATACTTCCTAAGTTGTGTGGCGTTTGTTTGCATGCCTGTGAGTAGTTCTCCTGCTTTTGTCAAATATATATATATATATATATATATATATACATACACATTTGTGCCCCACAAACACCTGCATGTGAGCATGCGTGCATGTATGTGAGTGGTTTGATCACTGTATTTGGTCACTATGTGTGCATGTTATGTGCTTTTGCATGTGGTGTTATGATCTATTTAGTTCTGGCTTAAATTTGTTTGATGTGTGTATGTGTGTGTGTATACAAGAGACACGTGTGACAGAGTTGTGGAGAATGAGTCATGATATTTTTTTTGAGGATCCACATTGCAACCAAGAATATTTGCGGTTTCTCTTTCTTTTTTTAATATATATATATATATGTGTATGTATGTATGTATATATATATATACAGGGTGCAATGGATAAAATGTTGCCATTTTATATTTTTAATTTTGCACATGTGCATTGTTGTTTTTATTTATGTGATCTACACAGTATAGTCGCATCAGTTGAACCCTATCTGTGAAAAAAAGAGCACATGATGTAATTCACTCTGCCAGAAATTTGGAAACATGTACTGCTTGGCATTTGTGCCAGAACCTCCAATAAGAACATTTCAGAGTGTTTGGGTGTCAATCTAAGGTCAGTGCAGAGGATTTGGAAAGAGTTGGATGAGTCTAATGGTGATTACAAAGGTACGGCAGTTCAGAAAAATCACTCTGATCATTCTGATAAGAAAAAACTCATGAATTTGATGGTGAGGGCTCAACACAGAGGCCTACATCAAGTTCCTTGAAGAGGTAGTGCTTTCCTGGCTCAAGAGGGTTGCTACTGGAAGACCCTATGTCTGGCAATAGGACTCTACACCATGCCACACAAGCAGGAGAAGCTAGTCATGCCTGTCAGACAATTTCTGCAACCACATCACCCCTTACATCTGACAACCTAACTCTCCAGACTGCAACTCCCTTGCTTATTATGTGTGGGGCGGAGTTGAATGAGATACCAACAAAACTCCTTGTAAGTGCTGGTAGTATCACAGATATGATTAGCTTAGACCAGCTAAGACCAGTGGCCGAAATGAAGATAGATCCCCATGTTAAAAACCAACTTTGTGTCACAACCTGACTCAGTGGCGGGGTAAAGTAAATACAAACAAGCATAGATATATAGTAGCATAAAATAACCTTTTCTGTGACATTTTTATTATATTGTACTAGCCACAGTACCCAATGTTGTCTGGGTGTACATGGCTGCAATTGTATAAGCATATCCCCCTTATTACTGCACCGTCCAGTCTAGAAATGTCTGCCTATGGTCCTGTTTGCATGCATCATCCATTGGTATACTAAGCTACTCCCCACCTCATCTTTTTTATGGTATGTCCTTCGCAAGTGTTTGATCGTTCTTAATAAAGGAATTCCATCAATAAAATCTTGTGTGGTCATTGCTTGGGGTTAAATTATTTCAATGTTTTAGATATTCAGTAAATTGACTGTAATAACCTTCAACTAGTATGGCATTGTTCACAAATCTAATAATCAAACAAAAACAGGGATGAAATGTCAGAGTTTGATTCAACTGCAAGTGGAAATGCATAAATGCCCCTCCCTCCTCCTTCAGATGTTTACTGTAATGTTGGGGTTATTAAGAGGATCTTCAGAAATTTTTCCCTTTTAACACTTCAATAATCCTTTTCAAACAATCTTTGTATCCAAGGTTACTCGAATGCCAATTTAGGATGGAATCATATGAAGAAACTAAATGTCAAAGGACAATTTTGGACCTAGTTTGTCACAGATTTTGTTCACTTAACTGAAATAATCTAAACCAAATATTCACACAAGACAATTTGTATGTGATATGTAATTTACATGGCAAATTTGGAAAGCATAGGATCAAAAACCAAGGATTTATGGCCGAAAGCAGGCTTTTTGAACAGTTTTTGATGGTTTTTCATTATATGTGGGTAAATGAGCAGGACTAAAACAACACTATCTTATTTCTTGCATGACACCAAAATTTTTGCAACATGTTTGAAGAAAATCAGCTAAAAAATGATGAAGTTATTCAAGTTTTTTATTTTAAGTGGTATGAAAAACCTGATTTTTTCACAGTTTTTTGCAATTTTTTTGTGAAGCCAATGTCACAGGAAAACTATCAAGCACTCTACATAAACCTCATAACATGAACTTTGTTTTGCATTAGGTGCAAAGAGCATCAGTTCATCCAGTAAAAATTTTGCTCACGTGTAACTTTGGCTTAGTTTTTACAAAAAGTCGTACCCACTTTCAGTTTTATCAATTTATCTGACAAACCCGGGGTAGGGCTGGAGATTGAAAAGTTGGTCTTGACCTACCTTGATAAATTTGCAACATGTGTGTACAATTTCATCAAAATCAGTCAAGAAATGTGGACATGCATAAATAACATACAACCACTGACAGACACAAACAGACAGACAAACATCTGTTTTATAGATAGAGATGTTAGGGAGTGTCTTTAGGTTAGTCTTACTGCCAAGTACCCAATCAAGACTAAAATGAAAATGCCCAAGAGAAATTGATATCATTGTCTTTATAATCATTTATTTCCAGTAAATAACTATTTTCTATTTTTTACAAAATAGGCCAGAACAGCCAGGCAACAATGCTATCACATAGTTATAAAATGGCAAGATATAAAATATGATTTTTAAAAAATATGAAATGAATAAAACAAGCTTATTAATACACACAGTTTTTTAGAAACTCTCGGAATCTAAGAACTGAAGTACATATTAATGGCTATTCATACTAGCAGCTACTTTATTTGGCATTTTTCATATTTAATATATCAACAAGTATAGGATAATTGGGATCAAATACAGATCAAATATGAATCAAATTTAGTGATTAGCTACTTCAATGATTAAATGCATAAGGTTTCTTACAGGAACAATTTATAGTAGTTAAATAATGGTGGTGTAAAGAGTACATGCACAAAATAACTGACCAATTGATTTGCAATGTAAAGGTAGCATTTATTAAAACAAAATTAACAGAAGGAAAGTTTAAAATAAGAGTTTCTTTTGTTAGTCATAAATTGTATACACAAAGAAATGTTCATTAAAAAGTTATAGTGAGAACTTACTTTGTGTGTTTTATGCTGCAGCATTCACAGCCGTTGTAGCTTCAGCATGGAAAGTTCATGTCAGCAGTTTGAAAGAGGGAACCAGGAAGAAAGGGAGTTACATTAGCATTCACATTATATTCGAGCTGCTGCTGATACAAGGTTTATTTAAGCTGCTATGGCTAAGTTTTATTTTAGAGCTGCTACTGCTACTATCTTTCAAGCAAGATAGTTGTACAACAATCTCAAGAAAGAGAATTTTTATTATGTTAGGTAAGGACATAGTTTCTTAGGCCATCTAATATGATGACCACTCTTTGAAGTTCTGGGTTGTGTCGGCTTGGTGGTTACTAATAAATCATCAATATTTTCTAAATGTGCCATATTTAGTCAGTTAGTAAAAATATTCTCTTGTCTATTATTAATCACAACAGTGAAATGTTTCTCTGTACATTTTACTACCTTGTAAGCTGGTTGTAAGGGATGTTTGGTTGCAGTTTTTCAGTGATTCTGGCACATATGTTACATGGGTTGATTGACTAGATGGGTTGAAACTTGAGACATCTTCAATCTCAACATATCTACAAATGAAACAGGTTCATTTGGTTTGATATTAACTCACCTGGTAGATGTAAAGGTGTACCATATACAAGTTCAGCTGTGAATCAGATTTTACAGTTGTTCTTAGCCCTAAATGCATTAACAGAATATTCCAAGGCCAAGAAATATAGTTCAGTGCTTTTTTCATGGATTTCTTTAGAGAATGATGAAAATGTTCTATCCTGCCATTAGCTTTAGGATAGTAAGCAGTTGTACAAATTCTGTTTGTACCAAGCAGGTTGGTTAGGGAATGAAAAGTGAGAATTCAAATTGTTCCTCTATCCATAGTGATGGTAATGGGAACACCAAATCTGCTGACCCAACCAGTTATAAAACCCTATGCAAAATATTATCAGTAAGGGGAATTATTTCAGGCCAGTGTGTGAATCTATCAATGCAGGTATGGAAATAGTAATATTTGTGACAGGATCCAGTGATGTTGATATGGACATGGTCAAATTGAGTGTCAGGAACAGAAGAAAAAATGTAGAAGCTGATTTAGTATGTCTTACTATTTTGTCTTTTTGACATGGTACATAATGACATGTCCAGTCCCTCATATCCTTGTTGATTCCAGGCCAGATATATATTTTTTAATTAACATGCAGGTTACTTTTATACCCAAGTGTGATATTGTGTGCAGAGTGTCAAAGAATTTTCCAGTGAAAGTTTTTGGAATAAAAGGCCACAGATTCCCTGTAGAATTGTTGCACCAAATAGAATGTTTCACTTGTGAAATATATATTTCCTTCATTTGTAATGAAGAATTATTGTCCTCTAGAAGAGATTGTAGACCTTCATCTTTTTGAAAAATAGCAATAGCTTCAGAATTGATGACTGCAGTTATAGTAATTGTAGAAATATTCCTGGAGAGTGTGTCTGCTACAATATTTGCAGAGCTTTTCATATTTTTTTTTTCTTTAAGCATTACGCCCTGAGCAAGGCGTGAAGCCACTAGGATGCAGGGGGTTGCAGAAGATTTGGAGCGAGAGCAGATAGGAGTGATAGAAGAGGGGATGAGGAGAGGGATAGTGGATAGATCAAGGTAACTGGAAATATCGATTGACATTACATTTGAATAGTTGAAGATTATAGCTCTCAGGGAAACAGTAATTGGGAAGGCTGTTCCACAGACAAGATGTGCGAGGTATGAAGCTATTGGAGTAGAAGAGACGGCTACATTTAAAAGTTTCTTCAGTGTAAGGGTGAGAGCGGAATGCCAGTCTCTGTTGAATAACAGTTGTAAATTGGCTGATAAAATCAAGATGCCTAAGTTCCCAAGGAAAATATGATATTCAATTTCGCTTTGATTGCTCCAATTAAATTTTATGGTCCTTGAGCACATGAAAAGACTTACCTTCCAAGTCAGAAGTGTCAAATGGTACAGTACAGTGCCATTAACTCTCATTGAAAAGTGCTGTACAGAGTAGCAGTTTCCAATAATTTCTTTCAGAAGAAAGACAGAGGTAATCTTTCATCTGATTTATGTTGTTTCAAGACTGCTCCAAATGTAAAACTGAAGGTATAATAATAAAACTGCCAAGTATAATTCTGCTTCATAATTGGGAAAAGTGAGGTTACTAACTTTTCCTTTGCCAAATTAAAGGCTGACAACTCTTCTTCAGAAAGATATATATCACAGTTCTTTTTCTTTTGACCTTGAATAACATCTGTCTATGGAGAAACTATTTCCATGAAATTGGGGATAAATTTCCAATAAAAATTCACCATGCAAAGGAATTGGCTAAGATTTTTTCAAGTTTTAAGAACCAGAAAACAGCAAATAGCTTAAGTCCTTTCAGGTAATGGTTTGATACCATTTTTATCAACCAATTCAAAAATCAAATCTAGTCCTTGAAGAACTTGGTTCATAAATCTTTGAAAGGATTGAGCAGGCATTCCGTAGTACAAACAATAAACGTAAAAATTCATAATGCTTAAATGGTGTTGTAATAGCTGTCTTCTTTATGTCAGAGTCCTCTATGAGTATCTGATGGTTGGCTTGGATGAGGTCAAGTTTTGAAAAAAAATTTGTTCCATGTAGTGCTGGTAAAATCTTGAATATTAGAAATTGGGTACCTATCAGGAAGAGTAATCATGTTCAGTTTGTGGTAATCACCACAAGGTCTCCATGAGATGGTACCATGTGTAGAGGTGAAGGTCACTTTTCAAAGGGCGAATTACTCCAAGGTTTGTTAAGTGATGGAATACCTGTTTGGCAATCTTGAGTTTATTAGGGGCAAGTTGACAAGGTTGTGAGAAGACAAATGGACAAGATGTTTCAATGTTGTGTTTGATGTCATGTTTTCTCTCAGGAGTGTTAAGTTTTGGTTCAGTTATGTCTTGATACTTGGAAAATGTTTCCAACTTTGAGACTAAGAAGTGTTGCAGACTTTAGGCAGCCAATAGATTTGATGTCAGTCTTTGTGTCAATCAATTGTTGTCTTTTAAGGTTGATTAACAGACAATAATGGTGCAAAAGGTCCACACCCAAAATTGGTTTAATGATGTCATCCACAATGAAAGTCCATTGTAAATTCTGCTACAGTGACAAATTGTCATCCATTTATATCCATATCTGTGGATAATCGAACCATTTACTGCTCGTAATCTGAGTTTTCCCAGGTCCTTTAATTTGTCTGACTGGAAAGCTGGGATTAGTGATATTTGTTCTCCACTATTGATCAGGAATAGTGTTTTTGAATTTCTGTTGATTATGTGCAAAAGTTGACTTGAGTTTGAAATACCAAGGTATTTGTATTTGTTTTTTTTTATCATATTGTATTATAGAGTTATCCTAGAGAAGGGAGACCCTAAAGCTTTTCAACTATGAACTTCCTTGTCTTTTATCTTATTCTCTTAATTAAGAAAAACATAACTTAATAAAATCCAAAATAATACTAAAAATCAACTGATATTATTTTATATTGCTATAGCAAATGTTATTGATGATCTTTGAGAAAAGACCAAACGTTTGGTTCGCAATTGTTGAATTTTATTTTCTGTGTACTTCTAAGTTCAGTTTGTTTCCCTGCCTTGTTCAAACTGCCATTCAGTCAAAGCTGGAATTTTTATTTCCAACATCCTATCATTCTGCTGAAATTCCTGATTGGCTCAAGTTTCTGAACCTCAATTCTAAAGTTTATTTTTAAAGTAACAATCTAACATTTCTTAAACAAATACATAAAAGCTTCCATTCACTTTAATGATTACATGTTTACTAACTGTTGTAGAGTAGTTTTCACAGTGGAGGCTTGTATTTCAATAAGTCGTCCTAAATTAGGTTCGACATACAAAAATGTTAGGAACTTGATATAAGAGTTAATGACGCAGCAATCTAGTTGTGATGGTTGATACTTCAATGTCCGACATCGACTGAGCCTCACTGGCGACTGCTACTACTACTACTACTACTTATTATGTGTGGGAGAGTCTATTAATAATAGAATAGGTACGTCAGGTATAACACTAACACAACAAATGTCAAAAGCAGCTGTAGGAAGCAAAAAGACATAACAAACTTCCATTCTTTATGTGCTGTGTCCCTGAGGATGTAGGTGATCATGGCTTTCCACAACTTCCAGTCCCTTGTAGCTCTTAATAAATTTTATCTTTCTGTTATTTCTCCTAAGCCCTGTTTTACCAGCCATTTACTCACGCTCATTAAGTATGTTATTCATTGTTTTCCTCTGTCTCTCTATCTGTCCCTCTGTGAGTAACCCTCTTTTCTCATTATGTGTCCTAGAAAACCGGAACTGTCTCTTTCTGATGTGAAGTAATAGTTTGCTTTTTGTTTCCATTTTCTCCAAAACTTTGTTGTTACTCACATGTTCAGTCCACAGTATTCTCAGCATCCTTCTGTAGAACCAAATTTGTGTTGCTTCAAGTCTCAGATTATTATCTCTGCATATCCATAAATTTAATATCTCACTATTAATAATTTTCTACTTTCAGGAGAATGAATTTATATTTGAAAGTTTTTTTAATGATCCTGATTCTAGAAGCTGTGATTTGTACAGCTTTGAAATATTGGTTTAACCACTTTTATACAGCTGATATGAATATTTGGTACTTGGATATAAACATGACAGTCAGTGTAAGTTCCATCATATGTTGGATATTTTTTGAATATGTTAAATATCCAATTCTCAATATGAGTCCTTTTTGTTATTTTTCTTTTTCTTCTCCATTTTCCTATCTCTTTAATAAACATTTTATTCTTTGCTTTTTAGTGTGTTGGCTACTTCTATAATTAATTTATAACGTCTCTTACAAGAAAAGTTTACATGAAATAATGGTGGTGAAATAGTGCATGTACAAAATAACAGAGACCGATTGATCTGCAATATAAGATAACATTTATTTAACAAAAAATAACAAAAGGAAAGTTTAAGAGTATTTTTTTTACCTAGAGACAAAAATGGAATACACAACAAAAAATTGTTAATGTATTTGGGTTTGACTTGCCTGTGTAGGTGTGTCTGTGAATCATCCATACACCTTTTTGCTTTGGTGTGAAAAGTTGATGGCACACACTTTGAAAAGAGGAAAAACAGGAAAGATTTACTTAAGTGTTCACCTGTTTTTGTACCCTCTGGGCTGCTGCTGATAATGTTTATTAAGACACTACAATATCATACTCTGATCAGTTCTTTTAGAATGTGACCATTACAGCCTATGATTTACCATTGTTGATTCTAAGAAATCATTGGTTATAGGATATTTTTGATTTTTAAGGAAATAAAATGAATTGTACTTTAATCAAAAAATAAAATCTACTTCTAGAAAAGAACAAATTAGAAAATTAAAAATTAATAGGCTGAGAAATTCTGAAATTGTTAATATTGAAGCATTTGTTACATTATAGAAAACAAATTTTAAACAAGGTAGAAAAAGTTTCCCTTAATTCTTGCAATTCAAGTCATGTAATTATGTTTTCTTTTTAATTTTCCAGTGATTAAATGAAGTCATAATGAAAAAATTATGCTGAAAAAAAAATTTTTCAGCATAATTTTTTCTGCTTTAAAAAAATTTCTTTGACTTTTGATTAATTGAGGCTATAATAATAATTATTAATTTTTTATAGAAAATATTTTTGTAACTTCCTTTACTCTTGTGTTTAGTAAGATCTTGACGTGCAACTTTTTTATTTGTGATTTTGTTACTTTGTGCATATTAATATATAAAAAAAAATGAAAAAAATGAAGAAATATCAATAATGCTTCTTCTATACATAGTCATTTAATAATCTTAGTCTGTCACAAGGCCACACTTTTGGCTAACCCAATAAGAACCAAATTCATTAAATTAGAGAACTGGTCTCATGGTTGGAATGTTGTTCTCTTCATGGATAGAGGTATATGAATATTTTCTTTTTTCCATTGGGGCTAAAATAATATTCTAATTAACTTTATTAATTTATTTGTCACTATTTCAACAGCACAAATAATCTGAGACTAAAATAAAATTAGATTTTAAATCCAATTTTGTTTTCTAATTAATCTTATGAATTATAAAAAAGAGCATAAAGCTTAAAAGTTAATGTTTTAATATTTTTCTGGTGCATTAAATATTAACGCTAGACATTATTATGCAATAATGTTTTGTAACATTGCTAAACAAAAAATTGAATGCATTATTATTTATTCCAGGCAACCACTGTAATCCAAGATTTATTGGCATTCCTTGTTATCCTGAATTATATTATTCCTATATCTCTTTATGTTACTATAGGTTTGTATAAGAATTTTTTTACTTTTTTAATTGCTGTCTATTTCCTTTTAGGTTTATGTATTTTATTGGCTTATCTAAATTTCTCTTAATATTTTCTCTGCTTTCTTTTCTTTATACTATTATACTTTATTTCACTATTTTTTAAAATTTTACTTTTAAACCTTGTCTCCATATTTTAGTCATCTTGACACATTAGGTTCCCACTTGAACTGGCTTAGGACACACAAAATCAAGTGGGCTCTAAAGGATTTGATCTGGTTCAGGTGTTATGAATATGTAGACAGTAAAGTCTAAAAGTAAGATCTTCAAAGTGGCAACCCCATTGGCTGAAGGGAAGTATAAATAAAAAATTTTGTGATCAAGTGCCACTTGGCTGGAAGTTAGAGAATTCCAATCATAGACTTATATATACAGAGTGAGAGAGTAAATTGATTTTGAGCCACCTGTTGACAGATGACAGGTCATTGGTAGAGATGTGATGTAGAGATAGACAGTAGCTGATAGGTGAGAGTCAGCAGTCGGTGATGGAGGAAAGATGATTAAAGTAAGATTTGGATCCTTACTAGCTGAAGAGTAGGTTTGGTCTGTCTGTTTGTTTGTCATGAGAGAAGAGAGAAGTAACAGTGAAGTTGACCCAAATATCACCAACCTCCTTAACAACTGTGGCTCTATCTTGTAGAATAACAATAATAAACAGCACTTACCGGTGTAAAGGTCCCAGCTAGCGTCCAGCTGGCAGACAAAAATAAAGCAGGTTGTAACTTAATACAAACCCTGCAAACTAACAGATGAATCAAGCTGGTATTTATATAGAAATACCTCCACTCAGGTACCAGCAGCCAATCACAGCCCACTTTAGCACAATGAGATGCTCTATGGCAACATAAATAGCTCTCTTTCTAAAGGTTGGATTATTGTTCACTTAGCTTGCTCCACAACTAAGTGTTTATCTCTACCACGTGATTTTTCTACATATCTGAATCCGTAAATAAATAACCATGTATATTGGAAGCAGGATTCATGTTTTCATTTCTTGCTGTGTTATTTTTATTTCCTTGTGAAGTTAATTGAGCCTTCCTCAGATGGTTTACATGAGTCTCCTCAATACTCCAGCATTCACATAAGTGATCTTGATAATTCCATTGTCTGGAATTTTTCCTTGGATTTTTGGTAATTCCATTGTCTGGTGACCTAATGAAGGTTGATATGCCTTTAAAGCCAACAATCAAATAAAATCAAATCCAGTCTGGAATTCTTCTTTGGATTTCCAGTTCCTCCAGTCATTCTGCAAGGCCTTTTTGCAATTATTCCACTTATTCATACAACTATTATCTTAATGTTTTATAATTTCTTCAGTTCTTTAGTAAAGTCAGACATTTATTCAGTTTTTTACTCTATGGCCTGTTGGAATAGCACAATCCATGTATTTTTTTTCTCTTTGTCACAATACTTATGGCCTAGATTGAGTAATCTATTTAATTTCAGTTCCAGAGAATTTAATGTTTTCTCTTTAAAACAGATTCTGGTTTGTGCATATACCATTAGTATATATAGCTAAGCAGCAGATTTTTGCACAGATCCTAGTTGACCATGCTTCCCACTCATTCATGCTTATAATTATATTCTTTGCTAAATTCACTGATGTACTTGATTATTAGTTTAATTAATATACATTTTTTATGGTAAGTTAATTTACATGTTATGGTTACTTGTACAATACTAATTAATAATCAATAAACATCTCTCTTAATATATTCACATGAAATCTGACTAGTTGATTTAAAATGAACAAAACAGAAATTTTCTCTCTTTCTCTCTCTTTATCTCCCATTTCCTTTTAGGACATGGGTGATCATGGCTCTCCACAACTTCCTGTCTTTTGTGGTTTCAGTAATACTTGTTCCTTTATTATCCCTTTTTGTTTTTATGCTATTTATTCTACCATGAATTTGTTCCAACTTATCAAATACCTTACCTTTGCTTATCTTGCCTTCGATATGTCTTGTTAGTGTTAAATTCTCTAAGCTTTCTTTCCTCATTATGTTTTCCCAAAGTTTCAACTGTCTTGTTAGTAACAATTTCTTCATATCTTCTATTCTTCTTGTTCACTTCTCACATAATTTGTCTATTTTCAACATTCATCAGTAGAACCACATTTCTCTTGTTTCAATGCCTTTTCTTCATTTGTGAAAAAATTGTCCAGCATTCACTGTTGTATGGAAGATCAAACACGAAATAGCAATCCAGCATTTTTCTCTTCATTTCTAATATTATTATTTTTGTGCCTTTAGCACTGTAATCAGTTTATGAAATATTATTCTCATTTGCTTTGAATTTCTGTGCCTCACTTTCTGTTGTTACATTATCCAGATTGTTGAATCTCTGCACCATTTTGATTTTTATGTTCTTGATGCATAACTCACTAATATTTAATTCAATTAGAATTATCTTAGTCCATAGGTGAGAAAAGACACTCTTGTTTCACTCCTTTCTATTTTCATGTATTCACTTATCCTTTATTCTCATACATGTCATTTGTTCCCAATATATATTGTAGATTATAAATATCCTTTCCATGTATATCAAGCTTTCCTAAAATTTAAAGAAATGCTTTTGTGTAATCTATGAAACATAGGCTTTAGATCTTTCTGCAAAGCATTGTTCTATCATCCTAAACAAAACCACATTGTTGTTCTTTTATTTCCAGTCTGGTTTTGCTACAAGTTCTATTCAGTAGAATCATAATTACTAGTTTTGTTATGTAACAGAGGAGGCATGGTGGAGTAATGGATAGCGGCTTGAATTGAGGAATCAGAGAGCCAAGTTCAAAATCCAGTCAGATCCATTACATTCACTTATGTGCTAATACCCTTGGGAAAGGTATAAATCCTCTTCTTCTCTCCACAGCTATGGGTAAATAGCAGGACAGGCTGGGTTCTATAGCAACTGGTCTACCGCAGAAAGAAATGGCAACCTACTGCGGGAAAAAATCTGCCTTGTCAGTCATGTATTGATGCATGTATTACACATGGCACATAACTGACTGACTATGTAGCTTATCCAGCAGATTCTTCAATAAACTTTGCATTCATTTGCACTTGGTTCCTTGCTAGTATTATGGAAATGCTGGTTCCAATCTGTGGAAATGATTGCAAAATACTTCCCCCTCCCCACTGCTGGGGTTTCTTCCACTTCTCAGTCTCATTTGACTCAATACAGGTTTGTCTTGTCTTGAAGCCTGAATGCTAGTCATTTATCCATATTCACTCTTGTGAGTCAATACCAATTCTTAATTTATGAACATTTTGCCTTATTACTTGCTTTGTCTTATATATATTGTTTGCTTTCTCATTATTTTTTTGCCCTGTTTTTTTTTCTTGTTATCATTTGTTACAAACTTTGTCAATTCTGTTTGTTTAGGCATTTACATTTAACTATGGCTACTTACTCTACATATTTACTTAGATACTTCAGTATTTTGTTGCTATTGACTATTCCATTTATCATTTCAGTAAACTTTATCAACTCTAAAGTCATTTTAGTCAATCAATATCTCAATGCCAATCTCATCGGTTCTTGCTGTTTTGTTATTTCGACATTTATATTGCAGAGTTTTTTTAATTATCCATTTTTATTATACATTATTTATGCATGAAGTTTTTCTATATGTAATTGTATATATTCTTAACTCTGTACAAAAACTCATCAAATTTTAAAATATCAAAAGAAAAAATTAGGAATATGTTGTCAAAAACAATGAAAAGGTTGTTTTTTTTTCTCTAACAAATTAGTGATGAATGCACATTGATTGTTTTTCAGACTAGTTTTGTCATATTTTATGCTTGATACTTTCTCAGATATATCATTTTTTGTTTATTTTTCACAGAAGTTCAAAAGTTTATTGGATCTATGTTTATTGGTTGGGATAAAATGATGTATGATGAAAAATCAGACATTCCTGCCAAAGCAAATACCTCAGATCTGAATGAAGAGTTAGGACAGGTAAGTTGTAATTCAGAATCTTTTATCTCTTCATTCCTTTTCCCCATGATCACCTGATCTAATAATAACCCAGCTTCAAAACCTCCATGATAGTTCTTTAATAATTGATCTGTTTTTCGTTTCTTAACCAATCGAATGCACATTGTATATATTTATTTTGCTATTTAAAAAAAATCTCATCTCAAGAAATTCTAAATAAGTTTTTTTTCTTGTTTTCATCTTTTTTTCAGTTATGTATATTTATTGTTTTAGTAAAGTTTAATTTGACATGAATTAATAATATAGCAGGATAAGTAAATTTTCTCTTTTAGGAAACATTGCTGAAGATAGATTTTACTTATTGCTTATTCATTTTATTCATAAAAATCTTACATTTTCAAGTATATATTTTATATTTTAATTTCTTTCAAATTTGAGTTAGTGGTTAATACAAAAATTGAAAATATTCCAAATACTGAATTGTTTTAATAATTATAACAAAACAAATAGAAAGAATATCCTTTCTGAATTTCTGAGTTGAAGAGTTATTGTTATTTATATGCATACAGTTGTTCTCATCTTTGTTGTTATCACAATGTTTTGTTGGCTGTTGTGCCCTCTGGCCTTAATATTAAATAAAGAGTTTAATTAAAAAAGTACCTGAAGTTTACTTGGATCAACAAGTAACTGGTGAAGGCTGATGGGAACAATGGCTGAATCATTGTTGCAATAATAATAACAAAGATTAAGCCAATAGATCACATGTAAATAATACAAATAAGAAAGATCATAATTTCAGACCACATGAAGGGATTTTTCCTCTTATTGTTCTCTCAAAAATCCTTTTGACTAAATGCTATGTTATTATACAAGTTAAATGCTTTTTCCAATAAATTTAACATTAAACAACTGAGGTGGGCAAATTTTCAAGGGATATATCATCGTATTATAGCTATTCTTATTATTGATATTGACTAATAAATAGCTTTGTGGATGACAGATTGTTTGCATAATAAAACTAAAGTGTAACAATTTTTTTTATTTATAAATAAATCCCAAAGATCTTGAGTATAGAGCTATATATTTGATATCTACAATGCATGAATAAATTATTATTCTCTTATTTTATATGTTAATATAAACTCATTGACATTCTATAACCTTCATAAGTATTTTAATCATTGATTTTGTAAAATAATTATTCTCATTCAATTTTAACATTACATAGTTGATATTTCCTCCCAGAGATCTTCTTTGCTTGAACATTGCTTTCTGTTCTCATATACATCTTTATTTTTTTAATAATAGACAAGTTTTTTAATGGATTAGTATCTGAAGTGACTAGGCGACCATTCCACTATTATTTTTTACAAAATAGGCAATAGTTTGCTTTGCCAAATGAGAAGAAGCATTATCTTGTCTTTTTAATTTAAAGCTTCTTTATTGTGACCTGTATCACTCAAAAAACATCTTGTCCAAAGACTTAAAATAATTCTCTGCTTTTATCTTGATACATTCATCAACGTTAAAGGAATCTATAATTTTACTACAAACAATACTAGCCCAAAACATTATTTCACCCTCACTGTTATGTTGGTTGACTATCTTTATAAAGGACATACATCCTTTGACTGTGTTATATTCTGTTATGATGTGGGTGTACAAATAAATATTTACCCTCTAGCCCAGCTGTCAAATCTGTATTCATCAGTAAAGATTACTGTGGAGAAATCTGTCTTTTATTTCTTTGACCAATTTCCATGTTTCTCTTTGTGACATTCACAAAAAGATAGTAGTTTAGTTGTTTTCATGTCTTTAGCCAATTTTCTTAATATTCTGCATCTTTTCTTTCCATTTACATTCATGACACCAGGTTCTTCAAATATTTTCTTGTTACATTCAATTTTTTTATTTTCTTTCCCAATTAATTTTTCTCAAATCTCCTTTTCTGACATTATTAAAAATCAATTATTTAATTTTTCTTATTGCTGTCTTTTTTCCAATTGTTCTCTGATATCTCTTCAAATTTTTCACAGTTTCCAACATCGTATCTCCTTCATGCAATAATTTTACAATCTTCTTTCTCTTCTGAGGCCATCTTTCTTAAAAAAACATGGGAATATTTATATACCTAGAATTAAAAATTAAATATTGAAATATGAAGTTTGTAGATGTAAGATAATTATGCCACTGTAAAAATTAATGTTTAAAAAAAACAGCAAGTTAAGATCTAATTAGAAGAATTTGTAGAACAATTTGCCATTTGACTTTCACCCATTTTATGTAGTTGCTTATATTTATTTTTCACTGTATGTAAGTGTTTTTGTACATTTATATGTGAAAGTTAATGAGCTGGTAAGATGCTATATAATTTCTCCTAATTCCTCTTAAGTTAGTCTTAACTGTACTATTATATATATTTATTACAATATGATAAACAACCTTGAAATTGAATAATAAAACCTCATATCACCAAATAAGTTTTTGTAAATATAAAAACAGATATATTTATTGCATTGCAGATAGATATACTGTGAATTTCAGCTGATAAGATTTATAATATAAATCCTGAAAATTTTACAAACATTAATTGGCTAATACCAATTTTACTGTGAAAACATTGAATTGTATAATAAAATCAGACCTAGTATACATTTCAATTGTATGGTTTCAAATAATGTGCTTGTTAGTAAGTTTTAGAATAATAAATTTCAGTGTTAAATTAATATTTCTGGTATAAATGAAAACAAAACATTTTATCTGATTCTTTCATTTTTTTTTTTTTTTGTAGGTGGAATATTTATTTACTGACAAGACAGGAACTCTAACTGAAAATGATATGCAGTTTCGAGAGTGCACCATAGATGGGAAATGCTTTCTAGATTATTCAAATTGTTTGTGTGAAAAACCTGAAATCTGTGATGTCCAACCAAAACCTGTACTAAAATTAAATGTAAGAATTTAATGTCTATAATTAGATAGTGTCACTTAAAGTTGTTCTGTCATTGATAAAAAAATATATTCATTTGAAAGATTCCTGAATGTAAGTTAAAATTAGTCTTTATCTTTATTTGTTGATCACTGAATACAGCATTTTATGCTAAGAAGGTGCAAAATGAGTCAATGACTAATCTGGCAGGTGTTAAATAGGAGAAATAAGTAATAGGAAGAGTCTTCTAAGAGTGAAGGACTTACATACCTTGAAAATCAGCATTTGTAATCCTGAATTAAATAAGAACACTACCCAATAACATTAGTAAAAAATATGCAATATGGCAAGACCATGACATAAAAGTAGAAGTAAGTGGAACTTCTATATAAGATATTTCCTTGTGAAAGCTAAGATGGATGTAATATTATAATACATCTGTAGTTAGATCTTTACTCTGTAGATAATTGTAAAGTCACACATACAAGTTTATGATCGGCAATGCTCAACTAATATATGAAAATCATCTTAGTGTGATGGTGAATTTAAAAATTATTCTGTTTAAATAAATACTTTTTGCTTTATTTAATAGATTGGAAGAAATCTTAATATTATCTTGAATTCTTAATAGAGGAAGCATTTTCAACCATTATTAATGTTTTACTATTATCACTTTCATCTTAATTTCAGATGCCTTTCTTTGCAACTACCCAGAAATTTATTTATTTTCAATCCACATTGGTCATAACATAATAACCTGAGTGATTGCAATGAAAAACATCTGGAATATTAAGATGAAAATGATACTAGTAAAAGAAATAGTAATAATTGATGATGCACCATATAATACAGTGTAACCCGGATATAAGAGAGTTGTTGGGACCAGAGAAGAAGTCTCTTATATCCGGATTTCTCTTATATCCGTGTTTGGTCTAATTTATATACATTAACACAGTCTCTAATTTGGGACCAGAGAAAATCTCTCTTATATCCGGGTTTCTCTTATATCTGGGTCTCTTATATCCGGGTTACACTGTAAAAATTTGGCAAAGTTTGACAAACATACCCACAAAAATATGATGCATCAAAGTGATGATTTTGCTCTTGACACTGCCATTACTGTTTACTCTCATAGCAATTTCCAGTTGTTTTGAAAAGCTATTTTTAGAATTTCAATAAAAACTAATGTAATGACAAAAGTATGCAGGTATAGGCTTTAAGAAAGCTTTAAACAACTGAGAATAACAGGTTCGCATATGGTGTCCTTTTATAATCCCAGTAAACAGAAATAGCTCTCTCAAAGAGGAGAGTAACAAAACAAGGGGAGACCACTCTTGATTATTGATAACACCTAAACATTTAAAAATGAATTTATGCAATCTTTTTTTCTCAACAATTGTTAATAAAAGAACAAAAAACACTAGATTGTTTATTTACAAGAATAGTGTTTAACATTTTTGTTGACAATTCTCATGAAAAAAATTAATAATCTAGTTTCATGTTTGGGTTTTATTAAAATTCTAAAAAGCTTTTTAAAAACAATAAAAATTGCCAAGGGAATAATGGTGTCAAGAGAAAAAACCTTTTTGACACCATTTTTTTGCAGGTTTGTATGATAAACTTTCAAGTTAATATATTATGAGTGTATGTAAACAACATTAAACATGGTAAGACTGAGAAACTGTTGAAACAAGCCTATGTAGTTAGACATAAACTTCTGCTATTAAGCTTTTATAACTTAAATGATAACAGCAGCTATTTTTATAGGTTTACTGAGGCAAAAGGGACATACATGAGTTTAAGTCTTGCCAAAAAACTTTTTTTTTCCTCTCATTGTTACTGTTTATTAATGACTATATAATGTTCTAAGCAGCTGCAATAAAAAGCAACTGAAATTAAAATGAAGAAGATTAACTTAAGTATAGCATGAAGAAGTGGAAACATGTTGAAAACCACTATTGGAAAAGGAAAAGGTAGTGTAAGTCCTCCTAAGAGGATTGTTGATAAATTTAAAACAAAAAATAATAAAAGTAAATTCCTAAAAAAAAAAAACGAGATAAAATGTTCCAAATGTAATCCTTATTTGTCATCTCACAAGAAAAAAGAAAAATAAGAAAGATAGATAGTAAGCCAACTTAAGTAATACCAGGAAGTTTTAGGGAATAAAGAAACTGTTTTTGCTTATAAAGAGACAGTTGTCATCTAGATTTAAGAATCCTCAAATGAAATGACAAGCATATAACATTCAGAATATGGAAACAGTTATTTGAAGAAGTGTTAGCACAAATAGGATTATCAATGAGATGTTGGATAATTACTGAATGTAAAATCTGTAATGAAAATACTAATAAAAAATTAATAAATATTAAGTCTTCATTAAGATTACATGGTAAATATATTTTCTTGCTAGGTCAAAGTAAATATTCAAATACACTATAGCACAAAAATATTTCTATAATTGGTTCTGCTTTGTTTTTCGACAGGAGAAAGCAAAAGAATTTTTCAAAGTTCTTGCCCTATGTCATACTGTGAGGGTGGACCACCCACGTAAGACATTTGGGGATGTAGAAAACATATTTTGTGAAACAGGGGAAAAATATGATTATCAAGCTGCATCTCCTGATGAAAAAGCATTTGTAGAAGCCTGCCGAAGGTAAACAATTCATTGATTTGTAAAATGACTTAACTGGGCTTAATTATATAAAAAAGAAAAATTAATAAATTCCTATAATCAATATAATTTCAATAAATTACATAAGTAGATTTTAAATTATCCCCTTTACTTTAATTGTTTTGTCATCTGAAACCCAAAGATTTACAGTCAAAACAGAAAAAATCTTTTATGTGCCATGTCTGTTCAGAACATTGGTGATCATAGCTCTTTATAATTTCTTGTCCTTTGTAGATCTTAATAAGTTTTGAGTAAATGGATGTTCTACCATTAGGTAAGAGGTTATGTGTTGTTTTCCTCTGCCCATCTTGCCTTCAATATGTTCTGTGAGTATCAAATATTCCAAGCCTTCTTTATTCATTACATGTCTTAGAAATTTCAACTCTTGCTTCCTGATTGCTTGGTTAAACTATCTATTTTTAGAAATTGTGAAATTTTGGTCTTCTTGTTATTATTTCTTTATTTCTTTTCTTACATTCTGGTAGTGGAAGTTTTCTGATTGATTGGTTGAACTATGACTTTTTTTTGCTTGGCAATTTTTTAATGTTTACTTTTAGAAATGGTCAAATTTTGGTCTTATTATTTATTTTTATTTCTCTATCACCATAACATTTCTGCATTTTTAACATTTTAATGTAAACTATATTCAGTGATTTCTCTATTTTTTTTCCTCTACAACTTTCCTTGTGTCTTTTTTATATAAAATTGATGCTATCAACAAAACAGTTATTAGTCTGAAGAATTTCCTTCTCAGAATGAAATGTGTCACTAATTTTTTTTCTATTTTGTCATTCACTTATTAGTCTGATATATGCACACCCACACAAATCATCTATGTGCCATGTCCCTTCTGGACGTGATTGATCATGACTTTTAATAACTTCCTGTCTTTTGTAACTCTGACTAAGGTTTGTCTTTTTGCTCTCCCTCATAGTCCCTGTTCTCCCAACCATTTACACAAGCTCATTAGGTTATTCATTTTGTTTTCCTCTTTCCCTTTTTGCCTTTAGTATGCCCTGTGAGTATCAAATTTTCCAAACTCTCAATCCTCATTATGTGCACTAGAAATTTCAATTGTCTCTTTCTGAATCTAAATATAAATGTCCTTTTTATTTCCATTTTTCTTAAAACTTTGTCATTGCTCACATGTTCAGTCCATGGTATTCTCAGCATCCTTCTGTAGAACTACCTTTCTGTTACCTCAAGTCTCTTCTTCATCTGTGAGAAGATTGTCCAGCATTCACTGCCATATAGTAGGCCTGATATTACATAAGAGTTCAGTATTCTTTTCTATACAAACACAAAAAATACATTTTACTTCATTGTAATTATAAGAATAGATTATATTCTAATGAGATAAAAAAAGAAAGTAGACCCTCATAAAAAATTTCTGCCTCCCTGATAACAAAAAATTAATTTTTCCCAACACTTAGTGCTTCTATGCAATTCACAAGTACTACCAAAATAATTGCAGACAAAACAAAAATTTCCAATATTGCTACATTTTTTAGTAAACCAAATCTTTTTGACAGTCTGTTATTTACAATGTTTTACATGAAAATATATTTTTCTGTTGAATTTGATTATTTTCAGATATGGAATAGTATATCATGGAAAATATGATAACCATTTACAAATTACAGTGAATGGAGAACTTGAAAAATATAAACTTCTTCAATGTCTTGATTTTGATTCAACCAGAAAGAGAATGAGTGTCATTGTTCAAGATAAAAATGGTAATAAAACTGAAAGTTTGGAAATTTATTTGGTGTAGTCTTTTTTATTATTTGGTTGTGGGGAGGGAGTTCAGTTTAAAAAAAAAAACTTTTAATATTTCAAAACTTAAAAATAAGAGTAAAGAACTGTGTTTAATCTAATCTGGATTTGCTAGAAATCCTATACAACACATTAATGTGTGCCTTTTTATTACAAAAAATATACAGATTAAAATTCATGTTAACAATATAAAATCTTTAATTTTTTAAGTGTTCATGAAACAATCTTTATGGTAGATACAGCTCTTATGATAGTTACTTTTAATATTATTATTATTATCAGTCTTGCTAATCCTGAGTATGCCGATAAACTACATCTGACAACAAGGTCTCTGGTTGGGAGATTAGATGTTTTGAGGGACATGAAACCACCTTTTAATGGCTGTTGTTCCTAGATACACTCTGACCCAGGGTGGTAGGACTTGTTAGTAAAGCTATGGGTAAATAGTGAATCCCCCAAACAAAGCTCTCTAAAAGTATAAAAATACTAGCAATACATTTTTATAAATAAAAAAATTACCAACAATATGCACAAATTGTAGTGACTTCATTCAAATCTCTTTAAAATGCTGCCAAACAACCAACATGAACACTTTCATGGCATTAATCTGTATAATATCCAACAATTTCTTAAATCAAACTGTATTCCAAAATATAACTTCAACAAAACTACAATGTAAATCATTCATATCATTGCCTCTAGTAATTATGTCCATACAAAAGTTGAGTATTATCTACCATGAATTCAATTGTGAAAGCAGAATAACATGTTTTATTACTTCCAAGCTCCCAAGAAAATTAAATTTTAGCATTAAATGACCCATAAGGTGTTGATATGCTGTTAAAGAGACAAATTAATTAATCAATCTGTCTTGTATTATCTGTGAAGCTTTATTTATTTTGTGAGAAAGAATATTTAAAATATTGCCAGAAATAATACTGTAGAAAATCATATCTGTTTTTCCAAGTATATTAAATGAATATTACTATAATTCTACTTGTTCATTCAGTAATTAGAAAGTTATTTAGCACATGCATTATGCCCTGCCATTACCTCACATAAATAATGGACTATTCCTATTTTGATTGTGAGGAAGGACAGAAGAAAAAGACATATCAGAAACACTGTTTGATTTTAGTAAGAAAAAAGAAACATATATAATAAGAAAGAAGAGATAGAGGAGGTGATAATGCTCTCAGGTGTTTAATGTCTGCTTCCGTGAAGTGAAGAACCTTGTCAATTTTTAATCTTTTCATTTGTACCCTCTTCTTTAAATAACAAAACAAAAAAAAAACTAATTACATTCCATCACCATCGATCAAACCCTGAACTACCACTAGCTGCCCATTCCTCACTTTCCAGTCTCAATAGAGTTCAAACATGTCTCAGTCATTGTGGGGGATGAATTATTTTCCACCCTCCAACCTCTCTCTTACAGGCAGGATGTGGCGAGTCACTCACTGCTCTATCACTACTACCATGAAAAGTGCTCAGATGAACTTCATCTCCTCATTCCACTTAGATTAACCTTCATGGCTAGGATCTGCCATGCCACTTACATAGTAACAAACCACCCTCATTCCCTCTGTATTCCATTAGTGAGAAGTAAGTTCCACTCAAACGATTTCTTCCTGCAAACCACTGCACTATGGAACAGAGTCTAAAGAGGATGTTTCCTCGATTACTACAATCTTAAACTGTTCAAGTCTAGAGTTAACCATTATCTTCCCCTCCTATCCATATAAACTGCCCCTTAACGTAACCCAAGTGTCTCCTGGGTTTTGTACAGGGAAAATCATACTGCAAAAAAAAAAACAACTAACATTCACATTTATAATTGTTATTACAATATTTTGTTAATGTTGTTAAACTCAAATATTTTCCATGGGTAATCTTAAATTTAATTGTTATTGTTAATTTACCTTGATGTGTCATCTTTTTTAAATCAGGTTTTATGCTTTTCTCTTTAGAATTGAATTAATTGCTTTTCCATTGTTTTTCTTTCTCTTATTTCTACTAGATCAAATCACTCTACTCTGTAAAGGGGCTGAATGTTCCATTATGGATAATGTTGTGAGTGGGGACAAGCATTTGATTATGCAACAAATTACTGGCTACGCCATGGTAAGTTATGCCAATGATATTTTTATAACTCTTTAGGTGCATTTCACTTAACTTTTGTACCAGTGCAAATAAATGTTATTTTAATGAAGCAAATTTTTTATCCATTTTGTCTTCCTTATCAACTGCTATAAAGATCATAGAATCCACAACTTCAGACTACAATTAATTGTAAACTTTACCACAATCTTTATTATGGCTGTATAGTATGTGCCTTACCACAGCTACATTTGAATTTAGTGTTTTCCTTCTCCTAAACTGGTTAGCCCAGTCTGTTCTGCCATTCAATCCATAGATGGGAGAAGAGATAGATTCATACTTTCCTCAAGGGTATTTGTGTGTAAGTGAACGCAATGAACTTTACTGAAAACTTTTGTGTTCCAAACCACTAACCATTACATTACCTGCACACACCAATGTTAGTTTTATTATATATTCCTTCATGGTACCTTGACATTATAAATTTAAGCATAGTACTAGATTAGCAGCAAGGTTTTGCTGTTTTACAGCTGAAATGAATAGATGTAACTGAAAGTTCTATGTTGTTTCTTCTCTCATATTTCTCACTTGTGGAACTCTCTTCTGGCTTCTTGCTTCCCAGTCAACATTGATCTTCAAAAATTTAAATGCAATGTCAATCATTATCTTTTGTGTTCCTAATTCCTGTTCTTTTATTGTTCTCTTTCCTTAATCATGTTCTTTTTTTCATATTCTCTCACATTCAGTAACTCCTTGTGTCTTAGTGGCTTTATTGCCTTGCTTGAAGTGAAATGATTAAAAATAAAAGTACAAATAAAGCTATCCTAACTTTTGGGATTTGTTTTTAATTAAAGTCATGAATTTTGTCATTAATGATACCAAGAAATTTCAATATAAACGAAGTTCTTATTTACTTTTCAAATAAAATAAAATAATATTGTTACTGAGTATTATTTTTACTT